TTATATATCTGTGGAATATTCAGGGTGAGGGTGGGAGAAAGAACTTGTGCCTGCTTGAGGCTCGTGTGAATGTTGCAATTGGCCACCTTGATTAGCACTGAATAGCCTTGCAGCTTCAAAGCCTGACCGGTTACTGCCTGAGGGGGTGTTAGCCGGCCCTGATTGATTCTTCTCTGGAATTCTCCGTCTTCTGAGTGTGGCTCTTTATTTACTGTCCTGATTTTAGAGTTTTTAATACTGGTAGCCAAATTTTGTTCATTTTCATTGTTTCCTCCTTTCTGTTGAAACTGTCCACATGCTTGTTGATTTCATTAGCTTCTCTGTGCAGTCTGACATGGTAGTTGTTACAGTGGTTCAGCATTTCTGTATTCTCAAATAATATGAAGTCCAGGTGGTATACGGCAAGCTCCTGCAGAGGTGAGAGGATCCCTCTTGTCCTTTGCTGAACGTAGCATTTGTTGGATTTTCTTAGTGGGTCTGTAGATAGTTGGTAGGTTGTGTTTCTTCATCAGCTTCCCGATGTGGTCAAGTGGTTCCTTGATGTATGGTAAGAACACTTTTATTAGAAGCTGCAAAGCCATTCAGTGCTAATCCAGGTGGCCAATTGCAACATTCACACCTGCCTCATGCAGACGAGAGTCCTTTCTCCCACCCTGAACATTCCACAGATATATAAATCCCATTTGCTTAATTTCCAACAGACCTCACAGCCTCTGAGGATGCCTGCAATAGATGTGGACGAAATATCTGGAGAGAATGTTTTTAATAATATAATGTATATATATACACAATAGTTATATTATAATGCAATACAATATAATACTAATAAGATATTATGACTATATATTTTATATTACATGTAGTATTACTAATAAAATTACAATTTAATGGTATAGTACAATATAGTAATAAATAATACTGATATTGTATGATGCTAATGTAATATATTTTTTGTGTGTGTGTGTGCATGCATATATATATATATATATATATATATATATATATATATCTTGTAAGCCACTCTGAGTCCTCTTCGGGGTGAGAAGGGCAGCATATAAATGTCGTAAATAAACAAACAGTATAGCTTTATTATCATTATATAAGAATAAACATTTGAAAAAACAGGATAAAGATGCGATAACAAACTTATTAACAATAGCAAGACTGCTTATAGCAAGGATCTGGAAAAGAGAAATTAATATACTAATAGAGGAGCGGTACAAGGAAGTATGGAAATTGGCAATAAGGCCATGGAGGCAGTTCCATCTTGCCTCCCCCCCCCCCCTCCAGCACCAACCACGGCTCTGAGATCAGAGTGAAGCAGTTCCATCTTGCCTCCTGCACTGTGTTTATAATATAATATATTGTATATACATATAATATTGATAATATTATAATGTAATATAATATACTATTAATAATAAAATATTACAATTATATGTTTTATATTAAATGTAACATTACTAATATTACAGTGTAATATTATAGTACAATGTAGTATGTAATATTAATATTGTGCTATGATGATAATAATATATTGTATTTACTTTTTACTTGTAAGCCGCTCTGAGTCCTCTTCAGGGTGAGAAGGGCGGCATATAAATGTCGTAAATAAAATAAATAAATAAAAAGCTGACGTGTACAGGGTGAGGCAGCATAACTTCCTTTTTTAAAATGCACATCATTCAGGTGGTTGAAGATGTAGGGAGCGCTAGTGGTCTCGTCCGAGAGGCGGGAGTATAAAGTTTTGTCCTGACACAGTTCAGTCGCCATCATGCGTTGGAACAGTGAGGAGCGTGCTTTTGCCATTGAGGCCTACTTTTCAAGCGGATTTGGAGTGGCCGGCCCAATCTCCAGATTTGGCCCCTTGTGGTTTTTTTCTATGGGGTTCTTTGAAATCCTGTGTTTATGTGAACCGTCCAAGGACCCTACAAGATTTGAAGACCAACATTCAGGAAGAAATTGCCAACAGAACGTCTGCTGTGCTGGCAAGAGTCATGACAAACGCCAGAAATCTGTTTACTCAGTGTATGGAGAATGGAGGACGTCACCTACCTAATTTGATCTTCAAAACTACGTAAAACAAAACTTTAGGTATGCGTCTACATTATAAAAATAAAAATTTCTGATTCATACAATGGATTTTATTAAATTTTGAAAAAAGGAAGTTATGCTACTTCACCCTGTATATTAAAAGTTAAAAGAAGTATATGGAAATAAAGTAATTTTGATGATGTATGGAGAAAATTTATTGAAAAAGGATTTAAAAGAAAGAAGGAAAGTTGCCTCCACAAGAAGAACCGAAATTTTGGACAGATGATATGTAAAAGCTGTGGCTTGGGAAGGGAGCACAGTAGTGAGAGATAGATAATATGTATAACCAGATGCCAAAAGTTAAAGTATGGTGGGTCATCAGTTAGGGACTCCTCCCCTCAGCACCAACTGCCGCTCTGGGCCAGAGTGAAGAAAGAGGGGACTAGAAGACAGTCCTATTGTCTCCTGTGCTATGCTAATAATATAATATGTTGTATATACATATAATATTTGTAATATTATAATGTAATGCAATATAATACTACTAATAATATGATAATATAATATATTTATATTACATGTATTATTAATATTACAATATAATGGTATAGTAAAAATATTTCATACAGATATTGTACTTTGCTAATAATATAATATATTGTATGCATATAGATCTTGTAAGCCGCTCTGTGTTCCCTTTATTAGTGATCCAGGATTGTCTGCACATTTCATCCCTTTCCAAAACTTCTATCCTAGTTATATGTCACCTTGTCATGCCCAGCACTATTTTAAAAAAAAATTAATTATTACATTTGGCCCAGCCATAGGTTTTTAAACGCGTCGTGTTATTGTTAATGTTTATTGCTTATTTTCTGCTTTTGAGTTTATTTATTGTGTTGTATTACTGTTGTTATTGTTTATTGTTGTATTGTGGGCTCGGCCTCATGTAAGCCTCTAGATTGGACTACTCTAGATTGGTCACCTCTAGATTGGACAGCTCGGAAATTCCAACTGGTCCAACGGGCAGTGGCCTGGATGTTAACTGGTGCTCCTTACAGAGAGAGGTCAACCCTTCTGTTCAAGGAGCTCCACTGGCTGCCGTTTATTTTCTGAGCCCAATTTAAGGTGCAGGTGCTTACCTACAAAGCCCTAAACGGTTTGGGACCATCCTACTTGCGTGACCGCATCTCCGTTTACGAATCCACGCGTTCACTTCGTTCATCTGGAGAGGCCCTGCTCGTGATCCCACCTGCGCCGCAAGCCTTTTCTGTGGTGGCCCCCCGACTCTGGAACACCCTCCCCAAAGATCTTAGACAGGCCCCTACTTTGGCAGTCTTTAGAAAGAACTTGAAGACCTGGCTGTTCCGATGTGCCTTCCCAGAATAGGAAATCTCCAATACCAAGTTCCAGAAGCACTTTATTAGAACTAAGATTGCCGTACATTGCATACTGCACTTACCCTTATATCCCACCTGCCACATCAGCACTTTTAATTCTGTACCCATTACTCTGGCCCGGCCCAGTTTTATTGTGTCTTGGTGTATTGTTGTTTAATATTGCTTTAATTGTTTTTAATTTGCTTTAGGTTTTGTATTGTTGTGTATTGAGGCCTTGGCCTTTGTAAGCCACATCGAGTCCTTCGGGAGATGCCAGTGGGGTACAAATAAAGTTAATAATAATAATAACAATAATAAGCCGCACCGTGTCCTTTGGGGAGATGGTAGCGGGGTACATATAAAGTTTTTAAATTATTATTATTATTAAGGGCGGTATATAAATGTCGTAAATCAATAAATAATAAGCTGTATTGTATAATACATCTCTGCTGTAAAATAAACAATGTATAACAAATGTATTTAACTATGATAAAATAATTAAAAATATTTTAAAAATAAATAAACCCAGATGCTGATGTGTGTCCATGAAGGGAAGAATCAATTCAGAAACAAGATATTCCTTTTCAGAAATTAATTCTGAGGTATTTCATTCATTTCACGTGTTGTTTTTTTAAATAAGGAAGTAAACGACCCACAAGACAAGCGTTCTTTCCCTTTTTGGGAGAAAGCGGAAGTGATAGGGAAGCTCCTCCCTACAATGGCGGCTCTGACGTCACACCCACTTCCGGTTGTCTGCCCCGCCCCTTCCGGTAACGGTCGCCGAGGTCCCCTCCCCCTCCTGCTTCCCTCACAAAACAACAAAACCGCAATCAAAAACGAATCCCTACACTTAGGAATCGCCTCCCCGGGCAGTATAAAAGGAAAGCGCAATTACCTCAGGCCAGACCGCGCCGCCCGTGACTGAAGAGCGGCCCTTTCCGCCCGCGACTGAGGAGACCACAAAATGGCGGCCGAGGGAGGCCGCAATCCCCACCACAGGCCGCTCTAAAGTCGGCGCATGCGCAGTCGGCGCCGGTCGAATTCTTCCTTCGCCACCACAAACAAACCTCCTGTCGGCCCCGCCCCCTTTTCCTCCCCAGCCAATCGCCTCACGCCATCGTTCTCAGCTTCTGCCCAATCGCGTCGCGGAGAGAAAGAGGCGGGGCCTTCTCTGTGTGGAATCTTTGACTTCACTCCCTTTTAAAGCCTTCGCGATGGGAGGGAGGCGGGCTTTGTAGCGCTGGGCCAATCCAAGAAGGGAGGGGGAATATAATCCACCAATGGGAGAGGAGGAGGGAGACGGGCCAATCAGACTTATAGAAACGGGAGAGATAGAACCGAGGAGGCCCAATCGCCTCCTCGATAGCGGGAACCAATGAGAAGCGAGGGAGAATAGGGGAGGAGAAGCCAATAGCGGAGGAGAAGCCAGCGCGAGCGCGTCACGTGCCGGCGCCGGGCCAATGAGAGGCCGCGCTGCTCCTCACGTTGTTATTGAGGGGGAAGTCGGTGAGTCAGTCAGTCAGAGCGAGAGAAGGGAAGGAGGAAGGAAGGCAGGAAGGAGGGAGAGGGAGGAGGGCGGGCTGCGGGGGAAGGGGGCGGGCGGGGAGGCGGAGCCGCGCGGAACAGCCCCCGCCGCTTCTTCTCCTGCCTCTGTCGTCGTCGCCCTTCGTTGGGGAAGAAGGAGGAAGGGAGAGTGGCCCACCGGGGACCGGGGTGAGTTTTGCGGCCTAGCTCTGAGGTAAACGGGACCGGGCCCGAAGCCAGGAGAGAAGGCGAGGAAAAACTCCCAAATCCCCTCACCAAGCGTGGAAGTGAGGCCTTTCCTCATTTCCTCGCCTGAACCGCATCCACACTGTGGGATTGATTCGCTTTTAGCCTTCATAACCTTCTCTGACTTAACATCTCCATTATCTCTGTGTTCTCAAGGTGTCGTCGTCCCAAGTTGTGTGCGACTTATCCTGAGTTGAGACTTCGAGGAGAGAATCGGACCCCTTCGCCTCTACACTCAGGAATTAATGCAGTTTGACACTGCTTCGGTCGCCATGGCTACGGAACGCGGGGACTCCAACGTGATTCCGTAGCATTGAGTCAAAGTGATGTCAAACTGCATTAAGGCTGTATTAAGCCGACTCGGGCACTCTGGGTGTTTTGGACTCCAACTCCCACAATTCCTAACATCCTATTGGATATATTAAGCCGACTCGGGCCCTCTGGGTGTTTTGGACTCCAACTCCCACAATTCCTAACATCCTATTGGATGTATTAAGCCGACTCGGGCCCTCTGGGTGTTTTGGACTCCAAGTGGGAGTTGGAGTCCAAAACCCCCAGAGGGCCCGAGTCGGCTGGCTGTTAGGAATTGTGGGAGTTGGAGTCCAAAACCCCCAGAGGGCCCGAGTCGGCTGGCTGTTAGGAATTGTGGGAGTTGGAGTCCAAAACCCCCAGAGGGCCCGAGTCGGCTGGCTGTTAGGAATTGTGGGAGTTGGAGTCCAAAACCCCCAGAGGGCCCGAGTCGGCTGGCTGTTAGGAATTGTGGGAGTTGGAGTCCAAAACCCCCAGAGGGCCCGAGTCGGCTGGCTGTTAGGAATTGTGGGAGTTGGAGTCCAAAACACCCAGAGGGCCCGAGTCGGCTTAATACATCCAATAGGATGTTAGGAATTGTGGGAGTTGGAGTCCAAAACACCCAGAGGGCCCGAGTCGGCTGGCTGTTAGGAATTGTGGGAGTTGGAGTCCAAAACCCCCAGAGGGCCCGAGTCGGCTGGCTGTTAGGAATTGTGGGAGTTGGAGTCCAAAACCCCCAGAGGGCCCGAGTCGGCTGGCTGTTAGGAATTGTGGGAGTTGGAGTCCAAAACACCCAGAGGGCCCGAGTCGGCTTAATACATCCAATAGGATGTTAGGAATTGTGGGAGTTGGAGTCCAAAACACCCAGAGGGCCCGAGTCGGCTTAATATAGCCGATATGCTGTTAGGAATTGTGGGAGTCCAAAACACCCAGAAGACCCAAATCATTTTAATACAGCCGATAGGGTGTTAGAAATTGTGGGAGTTGAAGTCCAAAACATCCAGAGGGGCCGAGTCGGCTTAATACAACCGGTAGGCTGTTAGGAATTGTGAGAGTTCGAGTCCCAGAGGGCCCAAGTCGGCTTAATACAGCCAATAGGCTGTTAGGAATTGTGGGAGTTGGAGTCCAAAACACCCAGAGGGCCCGAGTCAGCTTAATAAAGCCAATAGGCTGTTAGGAATTGTGGCAGTTGGAGTCCAAAACTGAGTTAAGACTTCAAGGAGAGAATCAAACCCCTTCGCCTCTATACTCGAGAGTTAACGCTGTTTGACACCGCTTCAGTCGCCATGGCTACGGAACGCTGGGGCTCCAACGTGATTCCATAGCATTGAGTCAAAGTGATGTTAAACTGCATTAAGGCTGTATTAAGCCGATTCAGGCTCTCTGGGTATTTTGGACTCCAACTCCCACAATTCCTAACAGCCTGTTAGGAATTGTGGGAGTTGGAGTCCAAAACACCCAGAGGGCCCAAGTCGGCTTAATATAGCCGATAGGCTGTTAGGAATGGTGGGAGTTGGAGTCCAAAACTGAGTTAAGACTTCGCGGAGAGAATCAAACCCCTTCGCCTCCATACTCGGGAGTTAACGCTGTTTGACACCGCTTCAGTCGCCATGGCTACGGAACGCTGGTGCTCCAACGTGATTCCATAGCATTGAGTCAAAGTGATGTCAAACAGCATTAATTCCAATTCTGGGCACCACAATTGAAGAGAGATGTTGGCAAGCTGGAATGTGTCCAGAGGAGGGCGACTAAAAGGATCAAGGGTCTGGAGAAAAAGCCCTATGAGGAGCAGCTTAAGGAGCTGGGCATGTTTACCTTGAAGAAGAGAAGGCTGAGAGGAGAGGAGATATGAGAGGAAGGCACAGGGAGGAGGGAGCAAGCTTGTTTTTTTGCTTCCCTGGAGACTAGGACACGGAACAATGGCTTCAAACTTCAAGAAAGGAGATTCCATCTGAACATGAGGAAGAACTTCCTGACTGTGAGAGCTGTTCAGCAGTGGAACTCTCTGCCCCAGAGTGTGATGGAGGCTCCTTCTTTGGAGGTTTTAAAACAGAAACTAGATGGCCATCTTTCAGGGGTGCTTCGAATGCAATATTCCTGCTTCTTGGTAGGGGGTTGGACTGGATGGCCCATGAGGTCTCTTCCAACTCTAGGATTCTATCATTCTAACGCTCTATTAAGCCAACTTGGGTTCTCTGGGTGATTTGAACTCCGACTCCCACAATTCCTAACAGCTGATAGGCTGTTAGGAATTGTGGGAGTTGAAGTCCAAAACACCCAGAGGGCCCGAGTTTGCCCGTGTCTGCCTTTATGACATTGGAGAATTGGGACAAAACTAACAACACTGAATTTCAACAGAGAAAGATATACTGTATTATTTATTTACGACATTTATATGGCGCCCTTCTCACCCCAAAAGGGACTCAGGGGGGCTTACAAGTCATATGTACATACAACATACTATATTATTAGCATAGTACTAATACATCATTCATAATAATAGTATTATATAATATTTTATAGTTGCTATATTACATTTTGGCAATAAAAATGGAAGGTACGGATAATGACAGGAAAACCTGGCTTGAAAACAATCCATGTGAAAAGGATCTGGGTGTCTTGCTATGCCACAAACTTGAGCATGAGTCAACAGTGTGATGCAGCAGCTAAAAAGGCCAATGTGATTTTTTGCAGCATCAGAACTCATCTGGAATACTGTGTCTAGTATTCCAAACTGAGTTCTGACCAAAACAGAAGAGAGGAGGAACACTCGCCTTGAATACTGTGTCTTGTTCTGGGTGTTATATTCCAAGTGAGGCCTGAGCAAAACAGAACTGAGTAGGAATTCTCACCTGGAATACTACTGTGTCAAGTTCGCAGCATTTTATTCCAAGTGATGCCTGTCCAAAACAGAACCGAGCAGCAATATTCGCCTGGAGTACTGTGTCTAGTCCTGGGCATTACATTCCAAGTGAAGCCTGACCAAAACAGAACACAGAGGAATACTCACCTGGAATACTACTGTGTCTAGTTCTGGGCATTATATTCCAATTGAGGTATGACCAAAACAGAACTGAGTAGGAATTCTCACCTGGAATACTACTGTGTCTAGTTCTACGCATTATATTCAAAGTGAGGCCTGACCAAAACAGAGCAGAGTAGGAACACTCACCTAGAATACTGTGTCTTGTTCTGGACGATATATTCCAAGTGAGGTCTGCCCAAAACAGAACTGAGAAGGAATTCTCACCTGGAATACTACTGTGTCTACTTCTGGGTATTATATTCAAAGTGAGGTCTGACCAAAACAGAACAAATCTCTAGGTCCTTTAGCATAGGTAGTGGAAGCTGGCATGGGCCAGCTTGGGCCCTCCAGATGTTTTGTACTCCAACTCCCACAATTCTTAACAGCCGGTAGTTGGCCCATGCCTGATCTAGATGGGCTCCACTTCAGGTCAACTCCCAGAATTCTATAGCTTTGAACCATGCCGGTTAAAAGCGGTGTCAAACTGCATTCATTCATCAGTATAAATGTGTTCGTGAGGCAGGCAGGACTTTAGAGTGCTTTGCCGTCGACACACATGCGTATTCTTCAACCCACCAGACTCTTTTCTTTGGGGATAATATTTCCCAAATGGACCACTTTTCTCTCCTCTCTAGTCTGTTACCTCAAATATGTTTTTGTCCAAGGAAGGTCCATGTATAGAGTTGTATTACTGGACTGGGGGAGGCATCCTTATGAGGGGCGAAAAGGAACCTCCAGGGCGAGGATTTCTGTTTCTCAAAAAATCACGTGAAACTTGTTTTTGCTTGTTGAGGGGCGAGGGAAGCAAGCGCAAGCATATGGGGAAGTGGATTAGAAAGGAAAGGGGCAGGTTTTGTCAAGAGGAACGTGTAGGGTTTGGAGGTGGGCTGGGAACTGAAGGGCCCACTGGGATGCACTCTGGTAAGGAAGGGAATCAGATGACTGCACATCTCTGAGTTAAGTCTCATTGTAAGTACTTTTGCCTGCACATGTATACAGTTGAGTAAATAGTGGTAGAGGGTGTGTCCACATGCAACTGACCTGTTAGTCTTCACTTTACAAATCAGCTTCCTTACCCAGAGAGCATGTTTGGCCTGGCATTTGTGATATTTGATAGGGAGGCTGAAGGTGCTGGCTGTAATTTGGTTTCAGTTCCATGATCACATCTCTCCCTTTTATCCTAGAACATTGACAGGAATCATGCTGTCTCCAGATAGCAATGTAGGCATGGGCAAACTTAAATTCCACAACACTTGTGGGACCAAAGTTTGCCCATGTCTGCAGTAATGGATGGCAACCCAAGCAGCATTGGACAATATAGCCAGTGGTGAAGTATGAGTACTGTACTCCAGCACTGCATGATTCCCACCCTGCCCTGAAATGCCTGTCTTCTGCATGCATGTAGTGTTTCTCTTTTACTTGACAGGTTGCAAAGAGGGAGAGGGCCGTGGCAGTGATTGACACTGAGGGATGCAAAGTTGAATACGAGAGAGAGAGAAGATGATGGCTTCAGCTGCTTTTTATCCAGAGCTTGCAAAAGCCCAGTTTAGCCATTCTGGAGCTTTCCTTTAACCTTTCAATAACATGTTAGTCCTGGAGTGGGTGTTTCAGAGATGCACAGGGTGTGTGTTGTGTACACTATAGAGAGGAGTGTGTTTAATAATCAGCCAGAGATTTTGTGAGTGAATTCTCCTCACAAGTGCCGTATCATCTTTCCTGTAAGAATCTACTCATATATTTTTCCTTTGACTTCTAGATTTTTCTTCAATAGTGGAAAGAGAAGTTTTCTGAGCTGGAATCCCTCAAATAACTTTCCAGGATGAAGGTAAATGCATGCAACTTAGGAATGTACGAACACATTTTCTTCCCATTTTTTCATGAGCCAGCTCATGTGCATTTTTTGTGCTTAGTTTTCTTGAAAAGTTAAGAATCCAACATCTTATTGAAGGTTTGTGGTTAAATATGCTCCACCTGCCACTTTCTCAACATTTTTGCCACTTTCTGATCTGCTTCAAAAGTTTCAAATGAGCAATCAAATGCCTATGCTGACAAGAAGGCCTATTATATCTGTCTAACATGACTGTGGCTCTCCAGGGTCTCAGATAGAGATCTCTACCATTATTTGCTGCCTGGTGTTGAGAATTGAACTTGGGCCTTTTGCAGGCAAACAATATGATCAGCAACAGAGCTGTAGGTTCTCTCTATTACATATGGATGTGGAAATCTGCACATAGAGGAAAACATCTTAGCCTTTTGTTTGTGATGTGCTTGACTGAAGACATCAAAACTTGTGAAAAGTTTTGTTCTCTTGACTTCTTTTCCAACTTTTTAAAACCCTATGGTTGTATTAAAAATTGCAGTCTGTAAACGAAGTAAGATAAAATAGAATTACTCTAGCTCTATAAAGTAGATCTTCCACCCAATGTTTTGAGACTGCAGCTTCCATAAACTGCAGCAGTCTGTTATCTTCCCTCACTCCCAGTGTAAACAGTTTACTAATAGAAATGGGTGAGGCTGGAGAGGATTTGTAAAGACAAATTGTTATTTTTATATGTTGGTATTTTGATGAATAGTTATTTTTATATTGCAGTATGATGCTCTGTAATATTTGTGGTAGTGATATAAATAATAACACTGGTAGATGGAAAATACACATGTACGCACTCAGTTGGAAATTATTGCTCCTTTGGTCTGAAAACTTTCAGAGATAAATTGAGTACTTCCCTCACCCCTCCCTTTTCTTCTATTCACAAAAATTAACACACAAAAATCATCAACTGTGTTTTTAGTGGTGGGGATGCTCTTATGTTCCTGAACTTTCTGCTTTGACAGGCAAGTCAAAATTTGTTTTTTCTTTCCTTGGGAAGGGGAAGTGTATGCCTGGTCTTACTATTTGCCTGCACTGTAAGATCATGCATTAGTTCCTATGATTCCACTTATCCACATTTTGTGTTAAGGTATGGGATTGCCACCAGTTGATTGAACAGTGTTCACATTTGGGAAGACATTTTAAGTCAAAATAGAAAATGTAGTTTAGTCATTTGGAGCTTTGATGAGTTCTGACTGTAATCCAGTATCCTCTTCCTTTAACCTTCACCGAATATACTTGTATTTGTTTTGGAGATGAAAAACAGCCTATTTAGAAATAAGAGAAGTTTTTTAAGAAAAAGAAATAGGAAGTGGTGCATTCTATTAAGCATAAGGTACATCTCCTTTCCCTTCCTCCAGTTAGTATATACAAAGCCTGTGTTCTTGTGAAAAAGAATATTCTGTGTTCTTATAGAAGGTATAATCATAGCAAGAAAACAATCTCAAACTGCATCTGTTCGAGAATTTCTTTGTGGCCAATAATTTAAAAGTGCACCAGCAAAAAACATTTTGCATAGAACTAAACTTTGCACATTATTGTAGGATTGTTTTCACTGTGTTTCCACATCTGCATTTGCATTTTGATGGCTGTAGAATGGATACAGCCACCATTAGGTGTTAACCTGCTTAATAAAAATGAGAATGGCTGTACAGTAGAGTCTCGCTTATCAAACATAAATGGGCCTGCAGAACATTGGATAAGCAAAAATGTTGGAGAATAAGGAGGGATTAAGGAAAAACCTGTTAAATGTCAAATTACATTATGATTTTACAAATTAAGCATCAAAATTAAGCGTCATGTTTTACAACAAATTGACTGAAAAAGGAGTTCAATACATGGTAACGTTGTGTAGTAATTAGTGTATTTACAAATTTAGCACCAAAACATCACAATGTATTGAAACAGCTGTGGATCCGGGCGGGAGGCAGACCGTGTTGGATAATACTGAACGTTGGATGAATGAAGGTTGAATAAGCGAGACTCTACTGTTTTTGTTTCATGACAAGAAAGAAATGTTTCCACTAGTTTTGGTAGCAGGATATTTTTGCACACATACATTCCCTATGTATGACTGCTTCTCTATGGCAGATGTTGATTAACATTTATCTGAGAGATCCTGTAAACTTTAAAGCTAAGTATGGACTCCTAAGATGCACTTAGTTGTGGGTTTGTATTTATTGGCAGTTTTGTTCATGGATCCTTGTACTTAATGTTGTCTCTGTTCTTCAGGCAGCAGATGAGCCTGCCTACCTGACAGTGGGAACTGATGTCAGTGCCAAGTACCGGGGTGCCTTCTGCGAGGCAAAAATTAAGAGTGTCAAAAGGCTGGTGAAAGTTAAGGTAAGATGGAACACTAACAAGGGTTATTATGGGCTGCGGAGGAGCATGAGATGCTGCCTTATGGTATTTCAGGCTATTGGTTTTTATTTTATTTTTTTTAATAAAACTTTCGTGGGTCTACGTATAGGATGACTTTAACTTGCTCAATAAGAACTTTCTTGTAATATAATGTGGAGTTCTGGAATTTCTGGGTCATTAATATACTATTAAATTGGTATAATCTGCTGTGTTATCTGACCGTGTTGCTAGTGTAGCAGGAATTTGCTCAGTCATTGATCATAAGAAATGTAGTTTTAATGGGTCTAAGTCAGTGGTTCCCAACCTTTTTTTGACCAGGGACCATTTTGACCAGGGACCACTCTCCCAACATTAGTACCAAACGGTTTACGAATTAGTTTTTAGTCAACTTTAGATTTGGTTTGGTTATTTGGGATGCTGATTCAGAAAATTACATTGGCTAGACCACATCGGCTCTAGTTTCTGGTACAGAACATATGCCATCCAGTAGTCTCCATCTACTCGTCCATAGAAAACCAAATTTAATAATCTAGAGCTGAAGTGGTAGTAGTGGTAGAAATCTTCCGTGAGTAGTCAGCCTCTCCCCCCCCCCCCCCCCCAATATCCTAGCTACCTCGTCTCTATAATAGTCGCTCTCATTGCCGTGTGGTTTTGAGGCAGCTGTGTAGTAATAGTGAGGCCGCATACCATATTTTCGCTCTTGGGGACCACTGGTGATCTATGGACCACAGGTTGGTCTAAGTTAACAGCTTACTTGTAAGTAAAACTATAATGTCAATTTATTTTATAATTTACAGTCCTGTTGCAAAGTCCCCTCAGCGAGATAGTATTATTATTATTATTATTATTTATTAAATGCTAACAGATTCAAACTTCCATCAAATATATATGTATCTGGGAGTAAACTTTGTTAAAATCAGTGTTATGTTTGAGTAGACAGGCATAGGATTGTACTCTTATTGTGGTATAAACATCTGCTGGCTGGATCTTGTCATAGTTGTACTGTAGAAAAATAACCCTTTAGGCCAAACTGTTTTTTATTGCTGGCTCATGTGGCTGGTTGGCATTATTAAGTGAAGTCAATGCCCCACACAGTCAACTTGCCTACGTTCTATGTTAATTCTTAAAGTCTTTTGTGCTTTCAATGTAAGACCTACACTTCTGAACAAGAGTTCTCACCAGAATGTTTTGGATCTCAGCTGGCCCTTCAATGCACAGAAAGCTTCCTCCTATTGATGGAAAATATGTATATCTGTCTAGGATTCCGCTACTGGAAGAAGGGTCAGGAATGATGTTCCCTGATTCTATTTCTCTTCTAGGCCCTTATGCCATTTCCTCCAGAAATAACCTCCTTCCCTACTTAACATTGAAATGTCCAGTGGGTAGCATTTGGCTGATTGGTACTCTGGATCTCCTAAGTTATTTTTTTTACCCTACCTGTAACATTGTTCAATATTTCTCTCAAATTATTTAGGTGACTTTAAAGCAAGATAATTCAACGCAGTTAGTGCAAGATGACCAAGTGAAAGGACCTTTACGGGTATGTAAGCAGCATGTTTTCTCCAATTGCATCAGTACATTTAAAAGCTGTCTTTGGTGGTTTAGTTGAGTCTGATTGAATTTCCATTTGTTTGTAATTGCCAGTGGATAATTTTTAACTAAAACGTTATATAAAGTAGAAAATCTGTAGATAGTTTAGTCCCAAATCATTAAGGATCTGGAAACCATGCCCTATGAGGAGCATCTTAAAGAGCTGGGCATATTTTGCCTGCAGAAGAGAAGGTTGAGAGAAGACGTGATAACCATGTGAAAGGATGCCATAAGCAAGAGGGAGCAGGGTTGTTTTCTCCTGCCCTGGAAACTAGGACTCAGAGCAATGGGTTTAAATTACAGGAAATAACTTCCTGACTGTTCAGCAGTGATACTCTGCCTCGGAGTGTGGTGGAAGCTCCTTCCTTGAAAGCTTTTAAACAGAGGCTGGATGGCCATTTGTCAGGGGTACTTTGATTGTGCTTTTTCTGCCTAGCAGAGGGTTAGACTAGGTGGCTCATGTGGCCTCTTCCAACTCTACAATTCTATGAAATAGAGAAAGAGTTATCCACAAGAAGAAAAATGTTGGAAATGGTGTACAACGATTGATTTCAGTACTGTGTGTATGCTGTACACATTTCTTTCAGAAATATGTAACATGACACAAAGTTTCCAAATTCAAAAGTGCGGATATTGAAGGCATGATCCTCAATTCTGGTTCTGTTGCAGCAAGACCTAGCAAGAAAGCACAGATACCAATCTAATGATAGATTGTCCACTATATGAAATTAACAGTCTTTTAAGTGATTCGGCCAAAATTATTTGAGTTGAGGGAGTTTCTGTCAAATGATTCACTGTTGCTTCTGCAAAATTGTCACTACTACAAGAATACTTTTTGAAGTTTAACTCCTGTGAGATGGGCTGAATGTTGTGGCATGAAGAAGTAAACTGCCTTCTTGGATGCATTTGCCATTTTTCTTTGGATAGGACAGCCCTGTGTAGCATTCATTGAATTAATGCAGAACAAGTGATGAACCAAGAAAGCACAAGCTGCTCTATAGCTAATAAATCTAGAAGAACATACAATACACCTTTTTCTTGAAAGCAAAGGCATTGATTTAGGTCAGGGGTCCTCAAACTAAGGCCCGGTGGCCGGATACGGCCCTCCATGGTCATTTACCTGGCCCTCGCTCAGAGTCAACCTAAGTCTGAAACAACTTGAAAGCAAACAACAACAACAACAACAATCCTATCTCATCAGCCCACACTTCCCATTGAAATACTAATAAGTTTATATTTGTTTAAAATGTTCTTCATTTTAATAATTGTATTGTTTTAAAGTGTTTTTTTGCATTACAAATAAGATATGTGCAATTTGCAAAGGAACTCATCATGTTTTTTTCAAATTATAATCTGGCCCTCCAACAGTTTGAGGGATTGTGACCTGTCCCTCGGTTTAAAAAGTTTGAGGACCCCTGATTTAGGTAGTCATAGGAGAGGCTAAGTCACCTGTTGGAGTAAAAGCAATATTTTAGAATTAAATCTTTGTAAATCAAAGCCTGTATCCTAGGTATGAGCCCCTGGTGGCGCAGTGGGTTAAAGCGCTGAGCTGCTGAGCTTCTTGACTGAAAGGTTGCAGGTTCGAATCCGGGGAGCGGCGTGAGCTTCCGCTATCAGCCCCAGCTTCTGCCAACCTAGCAGTTCAAAAACATGCAAAATGTTAGTAGATCAATAAGTACCACTCCGGTGGGAAGGTTGTTTGTTTGTTTGTTTGTTTTGTCGTGTCAGGAGTGACTTGAGAAACTGCAAGTCGCTTCTGGTGTGAGATAATTGGCCGTCTGCAAGGATGTTGCCCAGGGGATACCCGGATGATTTAATGTTTTTATCATCCTTGTGGGAGGCTTCTCTCATGTCCCCGCATCAGCTGGAGTTGATAGAGGGAGCTCATCCGCCTCTTCCTGGATTCAAACCTGCGACCTGCCGGCACGGGTTTAACCCACTGCGTCACCGGTGGGAAGGTAATGACGCTCGATGCAGTCATGCTGGCCACATGACCTTGGAGATGTCTATGGACAATGCTGGCTCTTCGTCTTAGAAATGGAAATGAGCACCACATGCCAGAGTTGGACACTACTAGTCTTCATGTTAGGGAAAACCTTTACCTTTACCTTTTTATCCTAGGTACACCTCAGTTAACAAAGCCTCAGTCTTTTTACAAAGTCTTTCCATTTTCCTCATTATGTTTTTCCTCTTTAGCCTGTAGAAGGTTCTTTAGCAACCTCAGCATTGGGAGATGTTTGAGGGAGTACTCGAATACTGACTTTTAGTGTTAGATTAAACAGCATGTCTACGGTAAACAGTCCAGTACAAGAGCTGTGGAGGAACTCTACTTCAGCTTCTTCTGCTGTAGCCTTGTGCGCCAGGGCAGAGAGCAACTGCCTCCAGAATCCCTTACTTGAGCATGCACAAACAGAGGAAAGGGGAGAACAGATAAGCCTGTCTCAACAGCTGTTTTTTTAAAAAGCACACATCTTTGGATCTAGTTTCTAAAAGGTACCAAATCTATCTCAACAAATTTTACAGCAATAAAAAACGTGCTAAGCATGTGCATCGTTTTGCTATAAAGTGCAATGTTTCCAAGCTCTGTAAAATTTTGATGCCTTTTGGTAGTTTTCTACCAAAAATATTCTTCTCTTAGCCAACAATGTGCTGCCACCTATAACTCATTTTTCAATTTTGTTTGGATTTGGTATGTTTTGGGAACAAAGTCCACATCTGGGAAAGCAGCAGAAAAGTGAAGACTGGTAAAATGATTTTTTAAAAGATATTTTTAAAGAAGCCTTTACGTACTCTCATAATTTGTTTACTTCTGTAATTGCTTTGCTAGCCTGACTCTTTTACATGTGCATCTTGTTAATTTTAAATAAAATGTTTGTTGAAACATGTTTGAACTTCTTTTTGTAATGTAGGAGCCTATCCCTGTTATTTCCATGTCATTTGTGCCAGCTTATATTTGTTGCTAAAGAAGTCATGGCCAGGAACACACCTAATTTGTTAAATGGAATATAGCAGTATCACGAAGTTGAGGAAGAGTGTTTACATGCAAGAGAATGTGAAGTCTAATCTTTTATTCCTTTTAAATAATGTTATATTAGTGATGTTTTCAGAATATATATAAAAGTAGAAGGAAGGAGAAGTAACAAAAAATATATAGTGAAGTCTAATCTTTTATATTATAGGCTGGTGCAATTGTTGAAACCAAGATGCCTGATGGATCCTTTCAAGAGGCTGTCATCAGTAAATTGACAGATGCCAGCTGGTATACTGTTGGTGAGTAATTTTCATGTTTTGTCTTCAACGCAAAAACATGTTTAATTTCCACAGAGGTGTGATTCAGTTCCTTTCAGTTCCAAACATTCCATGCTGTTAGAACAATTGTCTTAACTTTTTAGAAAATATGATGTACAAATTTATTTATTTTTACACATATATAAGTAGTTCAGGGTTGAGATAAAAAACTGGAACAAGATAACGGATCTTACTTTTTTCTCATTTTAAGTTTGATCTTGAACAAATCAGAAAAATATTCTTTTTTATGGTCACCCGCTTAAATCCAGAAATTGAAATCAGTGAAACTGAGTAGGCACTGATTTATTTACTTACTAGCTTGGGGACCCGGCGCTGCCCGGGTTATTAGAGAAAGTGGGTAATGGCGGTTCTGTATGCCAAGTTTGGTCTTAATTGGTCATTGGATGACGGTGGCATTGTTTTCAGAAAGTGAGTGAAGGTACTTGAAGTCCCATCATCCATGGTCCACCCTTCTCCAAACAGCAGCATGATATAGAGTGGGTCATGGGGGCTCTGTGTGCTAAGTTTGGTCTTTATCAGTCATTGGTTCAGGGTGGCATTGTTTTCAGTAAGTGAGTAAAGGTACTGCAAGTCCCATCATCCATGGTCAACCCTCCTCCAAAACTGCAGCAGGATGTAGAGTGGATCATGGGGGCTCTGTGTGCCAAGTTTGGTCTTGATTGGTCATTAGATGAGGGTTGCAGCAATCTTGGGAAGGGAGTGGAGGTACTTGAAGTCCCATCATCCATGGTCTGTCCTCCTCAAAAGTGCACCAGGATGTAGAGTGGGTCATGGGGACTCTGTGTGCCAAGTTTGGTCTTGATCAGTCATTGGCGAGGGTCTCAGTGGTCTCAGGAAGTGAGTGAAGTGACTGCAAGTCCCATCATCCATTGACAAATTCTTCCAAACCGCACCAGGATGTAGAGTGCGTCATGGAGACAGTGTGCCAAGTTTGGTCTTTATCGGTAATTGGATGAGGGTTGCAGTGGTCTCAGGAATTGAGCAAAGGTAGTGGTGCGTCACGGAGACTCAGTGTGCCAAGTTTGGTCTTTATCGGTAATTGGATGTGGGTTGCAGTGGTCTCAGGAATTGAGCAAAGGTACTGCAAGTCCCATAATCCATGGTCCATCCCCGGCCAAACCACACCAGGACATAAGGTGGGTCATGAGAGGTCTATGTGCCAAGTTTGGTCCTGATCAGTCATTGGATGAGGTTAACAGCGGTCTCAGAATGTGAGTGATGGTACTGCAAGTCCCATCATCCATGGTTGCAGTAGGATGTCGAGTGGGTCATGGGGGCTCTGTGTGCCAAGTGTGGTCTGTATTGGTAATTTTCTGACTCAGCCCCCTCTGGCCTTTTCCTTTCCTCTCTTTGTCATCTCAGAATCTTGGAATTGAGGCTGGCCAATCAGAGACCATATGCAAATTTCCTTCTCATGTCCCCGTTTCTGCCATGAACTCTTTTCTCCAACAGGGGCTCCTCTTGAAGCTGGCCAATCAGAGACCATATGCAAATAGCACCACAGCGGCGGCCAATCTGAAGCTTTGAACTTTCAGGCTGGCCAATCAAAATGCTGGCACATACACCGCCAAACATCCGCCGCATACAAACTTTCACCTTTATTATATTAATAGATTTCTGGGATTTATATATCCTCCTAGAGCCCCCGGTGGTACAGTGGGTTAAATCTTTGTGCCAGCAGGACTGAAGACCGACAGGTCGCAGGTTCGAATCTGGGAAGGGTGTGGAGGAGCTCCCTCTGTCAGCTTCAGCTCCCCATGCGGGGACATGAGAGAAGCCTCCCACATGAATGGTAAAACATCTGGGCATCTCCTGGGCAGCATCCTTGCAGATGGCCAATTCTCTCATACCAGAAGCAACTTGCAGTTCTCAGGTCGCTTCTGAATCCTCCCTTTCTCCGAAGGTAGGATTGAAGGCTACTTACAACAAATTAATCCAATTTAAGCAGGATCGACAGCAATTATGAATATTATTATTATTTTCTTTATCTGTGATAACAATTAATACCGGAGTTATGTGCCTTATTTTATTTATTTATTTATTTATTTATTGTGTCAGGGGCAACCAGACAATTGTATTACATTTCTAACAGAACAAAACAAACAAACAAACAGACAAAACACAAAGTTTGCAAGCTTGGTAGTTGATTAAATGTCCTTTGACCAGTATCTGGCCACTTGGAGTGCCTCTGGTGTTGCTGCAAGAAGGTCCTCCATTGTGCATGTGGCAGGGCTCAGGGTGCATTGCAGCAGGTGGTCAGTGGTTTGCTCTTCTCCACACTCGCATGTCGTGGATTCCACTTTGTAGCCCCATTTCTTAAGATTGGCTCTGCATCTTGTGGTGCCGGAGCACAGTCTGTTCAGCACCTTCCAAGTCGCCCAGTCTACTTTGTGCCCAGGGGGCAGTCTCTCATTTGGTATCAGCCATTGGTTGAGGTTCTGGGTTTGAGCCTGCCACTTTTGGACTCTCGCTTGCTGAGGTGTTCCAGCGAGTGTCTTTGTTGATCTTAGAAAACTATGTCTTGATTTGTGCCTGAGGATGTGTTAATGGAATAACCAACCATGTCTAAAGCAAATCCTTGTGAGTGCAAATCTAGCACATCTACTAGAAAATTTGTAGATGAGTCTGTAGGGAAATTAAAAAGCAGCATGGCAAGGAGAAAATTTATGTAGAAACGTAGATATATGAAATGGAATTGTAAGAAAACCGTGTGAAATTAATGGGGCAGCCATAAGTCGACAGGTAACTTGGAGGAATTCACACACAAGTTGAGCTATAGGTGCATCATGCACTGTTGCGCTCATGCCCTGCTTTTGGACCTCCTGCAGGCATCTTGTTGGCTACTGAAGGAACGGAATGCAGGGCTAAGTAGCCCTTTGGTCTGAGGGCATGGCTATTTTTATATTGTATCTTTGTCTTTGACTGAGTAATCCCGCTTTTGGTTTGTGAAGCTCAGCCTCTTAGGAAACAAATACAGGCTGTACGTTGAAGTGATTGTGCAAGTCTAGCAAAGCTTGGTTTGATTTCTCTGAAACCTATATGCAGCTCATTCCTTTGTCTCATACTAAAACTATTTATTCCAAATATTTGTCCTTTAGGCAAAAAGGTTCCTATAGTGGCTTGCAATTAGCTTGACAGTTCCCTACCTACAGGCGAATCTAAATAAGGTGCAACACACAAAGAATAGGTGATATTGGGATGGGAGTTAAGTTCAGCAGTTCCTGAAAGTTGCTGTTCTCTCTCAGATGCCCAACTGTAGTTGCAGCATAGAGGGAGAGTTTCACAAGTTGCTGGGGCCAGGAAGGAGGGAGGTTTGCCTGGCTACTCGTCTCCTCAAGAGACCATAGCAATCGGAACTGAAACATGAAGGGAAATTATTGTGCATTTAATTCTGTTGGAAATACATTTGAACAGGAAGTGAAAGATGTGAATTTTGTTGTATATTCTGTTGGTATAGAGTTGTAGCCCAGGATTAGTAACAGCTATTTCTGTCTTTGGTGTAAAAAAGTGATAAACATAGGTAGGTTTGAGCAGACTGGCTATTAAATTGCATAGCCATGTTAGCAATGCTTTTCAAAGGATGAAAAGCCAAAGTGGAAGATTTGATATGTCTACATTGAAATTCGCGAAGCTTAGGAAAAGTGTAGGAGAGGGTTTCAAACAAAACTGCTTACATAACTACAAAAATAACGGAAGAAGAAAGTATCTTGCTTATTCTGAATGTCACTCATAATTGTCAAAGATGCACAGACGTGGCTTTGTTGCATATATCTAACTTTATTGTTTTTGGCGTAATGATGGTCCCAATTTTTAGAAATGTTTTAAAAAATGTTAAGCCAGTATTGATAGTAGTTGGCATCGAAATTATGTGTGTAAACATCTTCAACTCATTTAGAACCCTTCCCTGTCTTATCTGATCAGGGAAACGGTTATAATTGAGTGGTAGATCATATGCTTTGCATGCAGGAGGGTTCATTTTCCACCCTTGCTATATCAAATAAATAGATTTCTGGCACTGGAGAAATGAAGGACTAGTTTGTAATCTTGGGTCTTGGATGTTCTTGGGCTTCTTTTGTCTAGCTCAGACTGAAGTCATAGATGAGGAGCTGGGAAGCACTGAGCTAGATATAGCATGGTATTAGGAAGTTCGATTAGTTCATAACAAAGCCTCTGCCAGATGAGAATTGCTGGTGATTGCAACAAAATATAATATTTTAAAAGTTTTACACTGAATTTTGAATTACATGTTTCTGAAGTGTTTTTTAAAGAAAAGATCATAAATTTAGCCTGCCTTACATGTGAGTAAGACATTACTGCATTGGATCTAGAATGATTTTCATTCTGCTAGAACAATGATTGTATTTGTAAATTATGTTGTGCAAGAGTTTTCCTAAATGTATTGTCGAAGGCTTTCATGGCCGGAATCACTGGGTTGTTGTAGGTTTTTTCGGGCTATATGGCCATGGTCTAGAGGCATTCTCTCCTGACGTTTCGCCTGCATCTATGGCAAGCATCCTCAGAGGTAGTGAGGTCTGTTGGAACTAGGAAAAAGGATTTATATATCTGTGGAATGACCAGGGTGGGACAAAGGACTCTTGTCTGCTGGAGCTAGGTGTGAATGTTTCAACTGACCACCTTGATTAGCATATAATGGCCTGACAGTGCCTGAGCAAACTTTTGTTGAGAGGTGATTAGATGTCCTTGTTTGTTTCCTCTCTGTTGTTGTGCTGTTGTAATTTTAGAGTTTTTAATACTGGTAGCCAGATTTTGTTCATTTTCATGGTTTCCTCCTTTCTGTTGAAATTGTCCACATGCTTGTGTATTTCAATGGCTTCTCTGTGTAGTCTGACATGGTGGTTGTGAGAGTGGTCCAGCATTTCTGTGTTCTCAAATAAAATGCTGTGTCCAGGTTGGTTCATCAGGTGCTCTGCTATGGCTGATTTCTCTGGTTGAAGTAGTCT